GCTAGGGAACCTGCTGCTGGCGCACCTGCCCTGAAAGAATGGCCAGCAGAGGTTCTCTAAATGGAACGGGTCTGGTAAAGGAAGAGGCCTCAGGCCATGTACAGGTGCGATACTGTGATGATAGGATGTTTGTCTGTATTTGGGTTTTTATCCACAGTTTCTGGCTTACACCTCCTAAAACCCCAGTATTTCTTTAAGTGACCAGAGCACTAGGAGGATCTGGCTAAAAGATTTGGCCTCTTGTGGTTGGTTCCTGATAATGATGAAAGATGTGTCTTTTGTTATCAGTAAGAAGCCCCTTTCAACCACACACCTAAGTTTATGCTAATGATGTGGGTTGGGGATGGCCCTCAGACAACCACAGCATTTAGGGGGCTGTTTGCCTGTGGAACCAGCCATGTGATTAGAGGATGGGAGTTTTCAGCCTCACCATCTGTCCTCCAGGGAGGGAAAAAAGAGACTGAAGGCTGAGTGGACCCCGGTGGCCAGTGACGCAATCAACCATGACACCTGCTGGGAGGGTGGGACACTCCAGGCCCTGGAGACAGGAGCTGCTGAGCTTAGGGTCCTTTGAACCCTGCCTGTGGACCTCCACACCTGCTGTCCATCTGTGTCCTCTAAAGAGCCCTGTGTAGCAAATGGTAAGACACTGCTCCTTCCCAAGATCAGGAACAAGACAAGGATGTCCACTCCTCCATTCTGACTCAGCTTCCTGTTGGAAGCTCTAGCCAGAGAAATAAGCAAGAAAAGGAAATAAAAGGCATGCAGAGATAAGATGTTCCTATTTGCAAAGGATTTAATTGTTTACACAGAAAATTCCAAGAAATCAACAACCAAAGAAGCCCTCATAGAATAAACAAGCTCAGAAATAGCACAAGAGACAAGATATAAAAATATTTTATATGCAAGAAATTAATAAAGGAACACCAAAATTTAAAACATTATATCATTTATAATTAGAGAGAAAGAAGGAGAGAGAAAAAAATTCTTAGGTATATATGTAACAAAATACATATAAGGTTTATGTGTTGAAAACTATAGAACCCTGATGAAAGAAATCAAAGACGATCTAAATTAGTGGTGTATCATGTTTATGGATTGTGAAACACAATGTAGCAAAGATGTCAATTTTCTCCAAATTGATATACAGATTTAATGAAGTTTCTATCAAAATATCAATCATTTTTGGTAGTACATCAACAACATTATTATAAAATGCATAGAAGGAGGAAAAAGAAGACCAGCTAAGATAATTTTTGAAAAATAAAAATGAGGCCGGCGCTGCAGCTCACTAGGCTAATCTTCTGCCTGCAGGGCCAGTACTCTGGGTTCTAGTCCCGGTCGGGGCGCCGGATTCTGTCCTGGTTGCTACTCTTCCAGTCCAGCTCTCTGCTGTGGCCCGGGAAGGCAGTGGAGGATGGCCCAAGTGCTTGGGCCCCGCACCCGCAAGGGAGACCAGGAGGAAGCATCTGGCTCCTGGCTTCGGATCACTGCGTGGCAATAGCGGCCATTTGGGGGGTGAACCAATGGCAAAGGAAGACCTTTCTCTCTGTCTCTCTCTCTCTCACTGTCTAACTCTGCCTATCAAAAAAAAAAAAAAAAAAAAAAAAAAAAAAACAAAAGAAAAAAAAAGAAAAGAAAAAGAAAAATGAAGTGTGAGGAATCCATACATTAGCTTTCAAAATGTATTATATATCTACAGTACTCAAGACTGTCCGGTCTTGTGGAGCGATTGACACATGTACCAACTGAAACAGACCAGAGAACCCAGAAATAGATCCTCGAAATATGCCTAAATGATTTTCTTTTAACTAGGGTGTAGAAGGTACTCCATGCAGTAAGGATGGACTTCTCCAAATAGATGGTGCTATAGCAACTGGGCTTCCAGAAGCAAAAAGTGCACCTTGAGCTGTCTCCCACCGCACACAAAAATTAACGCAAAATAAATCTTGGGTTTAAACACAAAGTCATAAAACATTTAGCAAAACAACTCAAGGTAAAACCTTGAGTTTTAGATGTGACCCCAAAAACGGGATTTATAAGCGGAAAGCTGACAATTTGGACTTCATCAAACTTTAGAACTCCTGCTCTGTGAAAGTGTTGTTGGTTAGATTTCTTATGAGCTTAGAAAGGGGAGTGGTTACATGGTACCACCCCCAGGATCTGTAGAGCGGGTCATTTGATTGACAGATGGGTGGATAGGATTACAAGGGGCAGAGGAGATGTGGTTTCCAGCTAACGATCCTAATTTAGCTACCTACCTTATCCTATATCAAAAGACTCTGTTAAGAAGAAGAAGAGGTAGCCACAGAATGGGGAAAAAACCATGTACAAACCACAGAGCCAACGAAAGACTAGTATTTACAATACATAAGGAACTCTGAAAACGTAACAAACAAAATAAGATAAACAAAAAAACCCAACAATCCAATTAGAAAATGAGCAAAAGACACAGACATTTCACTAAGGAGGGTATGCAGATGGAAAATAAGCCCAGGAAAAGATGCTCCACATTGTCAGCTTTCAGAGAAATGGAAGGCTCAGCTGCAAATCAGAATGACTAAGATAACAACCGTGGGAAAGACATAAACCATTTGTGACGATGCAGAAGAGCCAGGTCGTTCATGTGTTGCTAGTAGGAATGTAGACTGGCACAGCCACTCTGGAAGGCAGTTGCAGTTTTTTAAGAAACTAGACACAGAACTACCATGCAACCCAGCAACTGCTCTTTGAGGCATTTTGTCCATTGTATACACATACACACATAACTGCAGAAGCTTGATTTGTGAGTGGCCTTCAATGGTTGAATGGTTAAGCACACCGTGGCACAGCCTTCCCAGGGATGATAAGGAAATCACTGTTGGACAACTCCTAATGCGATGTGAAGCTATGTACACAGTGATGTGTGTGGGTAAGTGAGCAGCGACAAGAACAAGATGTTTGTACATGTGTAGTATGGTGCACTTTTTTTTTCTCCTGGATATACTTTCTCTGTAGCGCCATCTGTAGACTGGGAACCAGTGACTATAGAGGGCTGACTGTATTTGGAAGCTAAGAATCGAATCCAAACCACACCTTCACCTATGTTGCATTGCATTTTGGACAGAGGGGCCATGGGAGACTTCCCACTCCCTGTGGAAAATGCTTGTACATTCTCCTCACTCTCTGCCCGGCTGTGCCACCCCAAGTTTTTGTCTTCAGTGCCAGTAAAGTTTATACTACTGTCTGTCTCCGGCTGAAAAATAACCCCCAAATTTGGTGGCACAAAACAACGCATTTACTACTGCTTAGTTTCCGTGGGTCGGAATTGTAGGTGTGGTTCTTCTGACTCAAGGGCTCTCATGAGCTGGAGACAAGATATCAACCAGGCTGGGCTGGGCTTAGGGTGTGCTCCTGAGTACGCTAGTGTGGCTGGCAGGATCTGCTTCTTGCCTCGTGAGCTTCTCCATATGGTGGCTCCCAACGTGGCGCTGAAGTCATTTGGGTAAGCAAGTGAGCTGAGCCAAAGGTGGCCAGCAAGGGTGACACGGACCGCAAGACTGGTGTCTTCACAGCCCTGCCTTGTGAGTGACACTCTGTCCCTTTTGCTGCACTCTTGTCAGAAGCAGGAGCCAGTCTCAACCCAGCCCACACTCAAGGGTAGGGCACTAAACAGGTGCATGAGTGCAGGGTGGTGATGCTTGATGAATGGGTAAATGACTGGAAACATGGTATTAGTGCTGTGAGGGACAGCCTGACAAAGCTGGTCTAGTGGTTGAATACTTCCAGGGAAAACACACTGCAACGCAGATCCACTCTTGGGAGACCCCACTGGTTGCAGCTTGATAGTCCTTTTTTTTAAAGTATATATTTTATTTATTTGAAAGACTGAGTTAAGGGAGGGTGTGTGTGGGGGAGGGAGGGGAGAGAGAGGGAGAGATAGGGAGATAGAGAGAGAGAAAGAGAGAGAGAATGAATTATCTTCACTCTGCTGGTTCACTCCCCCAAATGGCCACAATAGACAGGACTGGACAAGGACAAAGCCAGGAGCCAGGAGCTTCATCCAAGTCTCACATGTGAGTGTGGGGGTCCAAGCACTTGGGTTGTCTTCTACTGCTCTCTCAGGCCCATTGGCAGGGAGCTGGATCAGAAGTGGACGGTTGGGACTTGAACTTGAACCAGTGTGCATACGGGGTGGTGGCATTGCAGGTGGCAGCTTAACCCTCTGCCCCACACCACTGGCCTCTCAGCGCTCGTGTTCTTAGGACGTCAGGAGGGGCCCTTCCTTGAAATGCTTACCGTGTCTGGCTGTGGGTGGAAAGGGTCACCAGACAGCTCTGGAGACTTTCAGCCACTTTGGGCCAAGTGAGCCTCTCTTCTGTGTTACCCAGCCTCGGGTGTTTTGTTAAAGTAACAGGAAACGGCCCAACACGCAGTCCACAAGAGCTCTCCTTTGGAAGCAGTGTGTTACCCCCAGTCGCAATAAAGACTTCAGACTAACGAATAGTGACTGCCAGCATCGAAAGTCAAACAGCTTTTGTGGTTGTGTCCTGTCTCAACAGGTCCATGAGGAGGCAGTTCACGGGCCTGTGCTGGTGCCCGAGGCCCCGGACATTCGAGTCCCCAGGAAGAGCCCGTGGTGCAGCTCTCTCAGTGTCCCTCCCTCTCCCCCCAGGCTCTCTGACTGCCCACTGCTCCAGATTTTCAAAACAAAGCCTGCCGCAGCCAGGACTGCCCTTGCTCCAGAAGCGAGGTTAGGTGGTCGCCCCTGGACCTCATTTGGAGGTTGAGGAATCACTGGCCAGCTCAGAAGCCTCCCCCTTCCTCTCACTGGTCTTGCAAGAGTCTGAAACTCCTGTCCTTACTCAGTGATGCTAAGCCAGGGTCTCAGCAACAGATGTCACCCTTCCATGGGATCTCATCCAGGGGGATGTGGGGTGGGGGACTGGAGAAGTCCCCTGGGGCTTCCTGGGGAAGGGAGAGAGGAGCCCCCACACAGCTGCAGGGGATGGGGTCTCTGACCCATCCCACAGCCCCAACAGGAATGCCTGTTGCCATTTCACAGACCAGAAAGCTGAGGCTTGGAGGAGACCATGAGACTTTTTAATTGTCCCAATGTGAGAGCGCCCCAGGGCCGGTCCTGGCTCCTCAAACTCATGCCCACCCAGACCTTCCCCCCGGCCTGTGCACAGACGGAAGTAGCTAAGGCGAGCTAATGCTGGCTGCAGGCAGTGCCTTCATCAGAGCGGGGACGGAGATGCAGACACAGACCCGCAAGCCGCAGGGTGGAGGTATGGCTGGAGCAAACCCGCAGCTGCGGGGACAGCCGACGTCTTGCCTCGGGAATGCAGGTGGCGCTGCTGTAGGCAGCCCCAGAAACCCACGCCCAGCCGCCAGGATTTCCACCCCAGCACACGCTCCCCAGCGCGGGACCTCCCACCGCGTCCCCGCCTCCCTGAGCCCCCTCCTCCACTTTCCCGGGGTCCGCGCTTCTTTGTCCAGGGTGCACGTTTTTGCTCCCTCCCAGGCTGCCGCTGACCGCCCGGGCTTGCCGTGGCCGGGGACACCCACGCTTCCAGCGCACAGCGAGCTGGACACAGGTTGGAAGGGCATTCTTTTCGTTTTGTCTGTGGATATTTCTGAGATAACAAGCACCCTGTCGAGTTAGTGGACGTCGCCGAACATTGCCAGATTCTCTTGAAAAATTCCACGGGAGGCCCCCTTCCATAGAGTTCACCCCAAATGGCAGGCTGGCTGTTGTCCTCGGTAAGCCTCGTTCCAGCAAGTTCTGCATCCACTTAACTTTATGAATCTGGGGTCTGTGGTTTGCATTCCGTCTCCGCGCCTCCACTGCCCCTTTCCCGATTTAAATCAATCCAAACCAGGATTTCAGACGAAGCTGGGGGTTGGGGAAGGCAAACGCAGCGCCATCTCATTCTTTGTGTCTTGCTGCCCCCTGCTGCTCAAATCACTGCTTTCTTTCTGTGGGTCCCTCGCCTCCGCCTGCCTTTTTCTTCTTTAACAAAGGAAACGAGCAGACAAGTCCCTGGCAAGATGGATGAGGGAGAAGCAGGAGGTGTTTGGATGGTAAGAGACTGGCAGAAAAGCTCCATGATTAGAGGTTCGCAGTTTATTTTTATTGTCTTAAAAGATTTATTTTATATTTTTTAAGATTTATTTATTTTTATTTATTTGAAAGTCAGTTACAGAGAGCGGAGGGGAAAGAGAAAGAGAGACAGAGACAGAGACAGAGGTCTTCCATCTGCTGGTTCACTCCCCAGATGGCTGCAAAAGTTGGAGCTGCGCTGATGCAAAGCCAGGAGCCAGGAGCTTCTTCTGGGTCTCCCATGTGGGTGCAGGGCCCAAGGACTTGGGCCATCCTCCACTGCTTTCCCAGGCCATAGCAGAGAGCTGGATCGGAAGTGGAGCAGCCAGGACTCGAACCAGTGCCCATATGGGATGCCAGCCCTTCAGGCGGTAGTTTAACCTGCTGCACCACAGCGCAGGCCCCAGATGTTCTCAGTTTATTTTTTAAAAATAGAGAAATGGAAATAGTGGTATTTAAAGGTGTTTACATTTCATTGCTTGGTCTTTCTGAACTCACACAAATACAGCAGCCCCATCTGAATGTCTGTATGATGGCCTGATTTGTGAAAACACCAGGCCTGCTCTTGGGATGTGGCCTTCTTGGAATCTGGTTAGCATGTGCTGGCCCCTGACTGCGCCTGACTTGGCCCAGGGCGGAGGCTGAAGCCAGGTCAAAGGTCTTCCTCACCAATGGAGTGGAGGGGGAGGCAAGGCTGGGCCAGGACCAGCTGTCAGAGAGCCCTGAGCGGGTCGCTCAGCCTGGGGCGAAGGGCTGTGTGCCGTCACTGTGCTGCAGGAGGGGACTGGTGAAGATGGAGCTGTGTGTGCGCTTGGTCTAACAGATAGAGCAGAGTCAGCCCCGCCAGAGGCCCCAGAGGCCCCAGGCAGCCGCTGAAACCAAGCTGTGTATCTGACCTTGCAGGAAGCTGAGAGAGAGCGATGGGGGTGGGGCGGGAGAACGAAATCCCCAAACAGGCCAGCAAAATCCCCAAACAGGTCCGTGCCTGCGCGGGGTCAGGAAGTCCCCCTGCTTTGTAAAGATGAGGACAGTGACTTAGGAATGACCAGTCTGCGTTTGCTTCTGTTTCTGCCTCCCCAGCCCGTCCTGCCTGTTCAGCCAACCTCGCCTGCCCAGCTCACCGGAATCCTTCATGTTCCATAGGAGGAGGAGGTGTTGCTGAGTGTAGCTGCCAGTGGCCGCCAGTGACCTCGACCTCGGCACCACGCTGCTGTAATCTCGCCTGCTGGGGGTTAGAAGAGCACCCCTGGGTGATGGAAAGACCCCAGTGGCGCCTGTGTTTGGGGATTTCCTGGGGGTGCTGGATACCACCCGGGGCACAAGCCTCAGAAACACCTGGAGCCGAGCCCTGAACCCGGGACCCTGGCTGCAAGAGCAGAAAGGAGGGCACTGAGGCCACGGTGGCAGGGCCGTCTGCCTGACCGGGGTGCCCAGGGCTGCTTCTGCTCGGGGCTCCCCGGCTGGTGGAACAGGGATCTCTGTTCAGAGGGTCAGACCACGAAGCTGGCCCTGGAAAGCCAAGTCCTCCTGGGACGTTGCTGCTCGCTGCCAGCAGGAGCCCGCGTGCACCTGTGTGTTCCAGCGGTGTGGCAGAGGTGGCTTCCTCGCCTCTCCCCACCACCTCCTCAGCCAGGAGGCGCCTGGCTCCATGCCTTAGCGGTGGTGTTCATCTCTGTCCTGAACCAGTCCTTGTCATCTGATGTAGGATGTTGGACGGCGAATCAGCCTCAGAGTTGAATTGAAGGATGTGATGGAAACGGTAGTGAGATTGCTCCTCCCACCCGAGTTCGTGGGTTAAAGTTCAGGGTCTCCTCCACCGGGTGCCCCTCATAGTGCCCTCCCCAACACTTGCTTGCCTTTCAGGAAGGAACCATGATTCGCCTTGACGCAGAGTAAGGGTCTGGGGACTTTGATGGCATTGACTTTGCTGCAGCATCTCCACGTGCAACCCAAGGGTTGCTCTTGGAAAGGAGGCGAGCCAGCACTGTCACCCTGGAGGGTAGCTCATACGTGGTGGGGAGTGCCGGAATTGCACCCTTAGCCTCATTACACCCACCCCAAACCGGCCATGGCTGCAGCACGTTGGTCAGTGGGAGCGCTCTGGAGGTCCGGCGCCCAGGATGGGGCAGATGGGGCGAGCACACCCTCCCTCTTCAGGCGTTCAGCGTGCCTGCTCTGCCTGGAGTGAGCTCAGGTTGAGATCCACTCACGCGTTCTCTGTGTAGCCCCTGTGTGCCTCGGTTTCCCATCTGTGTGTGCAAGCACGCACCTGTGTGTGTGTATTGTTGCCATAATTCAAGTCTCTGGTTTAGTGATCCATGTGCTAAGTATCCCACCTTTTGTTTTAGTTCAGCTTTTCAAAATGCAATACGCATGATCTGGTTGCATAAAAGTAATGAGAGAGTTTTAAAAATGGGGTGATGAAACCTGACCATGAGGGACAAAGTCAGTCTGGGATCTTTGCTCTTGTTGCAACACATGGGAAATTCTGTCTGTGCAGAAATTTGCACAGTGACATGTCAATGCAGGAATAGTGTTTTCTTAAGCGGTGACCGGAAAGAGTACTTTAAAAAAGATTTATTTGTTTATTTGAAAGGCAGAGCTACAGAGAGGCAGAGGCAGAGGCAGATGCAGAGAGAGAGAGGTCTTCTATTCACCGGTTCACTCCCCAAATGGCTGCAACTGCCAGAGATGGGCTGATCCAAAGCCAGGAGCCAGGAGCTTCTTCCAGGTCTCCCACATGGGTGCAGGAGCCCAAGGGCTCGGACCATCTTCTACTGCTTTCCTGGGCACATTAGCAGGGAGCTGGATCAAAAGTGGAGCAGCCAGGACTCAAACTGGTGCCCACATAGGACGCTGGCACTGCAAGCAGTGGCTTTACCCACTATGCCACAGTGCCAGCCCTGAAAGAATACCTCTCAAAAATGTCTAAATGACAGCCTGAAAATGATTTAGTCCAGGAACTGTCCAGTTTGATTGAGCATCAGAATTCCCTAGAGTCTATGAAGACCTGGTTTGCTGCTATGGATGGTGCATACTCCTTAGATTTGGGTTGGGCTGGCCTGAGAATGTGCATTTCCAACAAGCTCCCGAGTGATGCTGATTTGGGGAGCCTAGCATGAGAAGTACGGATCTGACCACTCGTTCTGAGACTCGGCTGCACAGTGGGCTCTGCCAGGGAGCTTAAACACCAGTGATGCTGGGGCTGCCTCCCTGCCTCCAGCTTAATTTCTGTGGAGTAGGCTGTGGGCAATGGGGACTGGTGCAAAGCCCCCTGGATGACTGTACTGTGCAGCCAAGTTTGAGAACTGCTGGTGCGGGGTGCATTGCAGTGTGTTCAGTACAGCACAGGTGTTGGAAGCCCAGAGCATTTAAAGTGGCAGATTGTCTCATGAAACTTACGAATACAAAGTGAAGTCCTAAATGTCCTACCCTAATGAAACCAACCCAGGCAGCCAGGAGACGGGGCACTCACAGACTATGCATGAACCAAAATAAATGACAGGAACATTTTCTCAGACCACAACTTGCCACATGTCATACCGGGATGGCTGGCTTTGTGGGGACAGGAGCCACAGGCACAGTACACTTGACTGGCCTCACATGCTGTCCCCTTAAGGAACCCATGCCAACTCCTGCGATCAGCCCCCATAACTAGTATCACTTTATTTCCAAACAATTTGCCTTTATCCCTCGTCTTCATCTTTAGAACCTTCTTGCCTCAGCCTCCTTGGCTGCACCTGCAGTCTTCCCTGGCACACATGTCCCAGATGGCAGCCCCCTGCTAGTCTTGAATAAGCTCTGTCTTTGGAGAGCCTGTCTCTTCTGTCATTATTTGAGGCTGACATCACAGGTTGATTGTCCTGGATGGTTATCAATGGATGGACGGGGAGTAGGTTGTGCCCAGAGTCTCAGGAGTGTTGGCCTTGCTAGTGACAACTGCCCGACAGTGGTTCTCAGGCTCCTGGAAGGCCAAAGAATATTCTTTGATTTCAGGCATTTGTGTCTTGCCATGTTCTTGTTACACACAAGCAGCTCACTGCTAACTCAGCAGTAGGGAGTTTAGTGAAAGGATTCTGGGTGATTGGAAGCTGCCCTTCTGAGAGCAATGCACAAATCCAAGCCTACGATGGCCTGATGAAGGAACCGCCCCTGCTGCCCAGCCTGATGCTAGGAAACCTACTGGGGCCACTGCCCTGCCAGCAAATAGACTTTGCAAACTGCTGGCACCTCTGGAAGCCAGGCGCCTGCAGTGCTGCCCTCAGCACTCAGGTGGGCTTTCCAGGAAGTACAGTTCTCAGCTGCCTGCATGTGATTGGAGGGGCTCCTGCACCTGCTCTATCTTGGCTGGGAAGCCCAGCGATGCAGGTTTGCACCGAGTCTGGCTCTGTGGGACTGGGAATTTGGCAGCCAGGAAGTGCCATGGTGAGACTGGTGTTGGTGCTATTCCACAGCCCCTTGGCTCGTGGTGTTTTCTCTCCTGAGCCTTCCTGACCTTCTCCATCAGTGTGCTCCACCCCACGGCAGCAGGAATCCAATCGTCTCAGTTTCCCCCATCCTCTCTTCCTTTCGTGGATGGATTTTACTGTCAATGACTGAGCTTTCCCAGTAGCCAATGTGTGTAGTGACAGCACTAGGGAAAACAACTACTGCACTTGGCTATGTGAAATGCTACCCCTTTGACACCATAGGAGGGCATGAATGGATTCACCACTCTGTGAGTTCCTTGGATTCCCATGCAATGCAAGGAATGCCAATGGCAGAGCCATTTGTGCTGTTAAGAAGTCTTCTAGATAAAACAGAAAAGAGAATGTGATCCAAGCAGACCTGGAGCATATCCAGCCGCTTGAGTTGTGGCCATGGGGCGGCCTGGTTCTAGTTGGAAGTGAGAGCCAAGGGTAGGCCTTTGGGATGCAAATTTCACTTGCTTCACCAGGGGCCACATAGGTGAGCCATGTAGGCAGGTGTGTCTCTCTTTGTCATTCTTCTCTCGGTGTGATGAGGGTAACAGGTCCCACCTGCTGCTGGTGCCTGCCCCTGTGGGCCCATCCCCTCCAGGACACTAGCTGGTGGGGAGGATGAGAAACTCGCCCAAGATCAGGGGCAGAGTGATTCAAATAATCAATTTTACTAGCATATAAATTGCATCTTACGCATAACAATGCCATTTAGAGCTGTTCGTTTGCCCCCAAGTAAAGTCTGTGGACTGTCAGGGGTTTTTGTAAATTGCTCTATGTAAGAAAACAAGAGCATGTAATAGGAGAAAAATATGGCAAGACCATGATGCTGACAGTTTATTCACTCCTGGTCTCCTAGTGCTGGGCACATAGGAAATATTTTTTGTTGAGTGAATAAATAAAATGACAGAATTAAATATTTCTTGGGTACCTACTATGTACTGGGTACTAAACTAGAGACGTGAGAAAGGGATACAAAATTGAATAAAACAAGATCACTCCCTACAAGGAGCTTGCAATCCACTGACTCTATGTTTCTTTATTGGCATCACACACACACACATACACACATACACACACAGAGTCTCTTTTTCTCTCACATACACATGTGCATGCATGCACCCTTTTTAAACTTTTATTTAATAAACATAAATTTCAAAAGTACAACTTTTGGATTACAGTGGTTTTTTCCCCCCATAACCACCCTCCCATCCACAAACCATCCCATCTCCTACTCCCTCTCCCATCTCATTCTTCATTAAGATTCATTTTTAATTATCTTTATATACAGAAGATCAACTTAGTATATACTAAGTAAAGATTTCAACAGTTTGCACCCACATAGACATGCAAAGTATAAAGTACTGTTTGAATACTAATTCTACTGTTAATTTGCATAGTACAACACATTAAGGACAGAGATCCTACATGGGGAGTAAGTGCACAGTGACTCCTGTTGTTGATTTAACAATTGACACTCTTATTTATGATGTCAGTAATCACCCGAGGCTCTTGTCATGAGTTGCCTCTTGAGTTCACCAACAAAGTAACAAGGCCATAATCAAAGTGGAAGTTTTCTCCTCCCTTCAGAGAAAGGTACTTCCTTCTTTGATGGTCCATTCTTTCTGCTGGGATCTTACAGAGATCTTTCATTTAGGTCATTTTTTTTTTTTGCCAGAGTGTCTTGGCTTTCCATGCCTGAGAAACTCTCATGGGCTTTTTAGCCAGATCCGAATGCCTTAAGGGCTGATTCTGAGGCCAGAGTGCTGTTTAGGGCATCTGCCCTTCTATGAGTCTGCTGTGTATCCTGCTTCCCATACACACACCCCTTTTAAGAGAACAGTGTTCAGACAGTGAGATAAAACCTTCTGGTCTGATTGACTTAAAATTTGAGCTGCCAGGTACACATGGATGAACATTGCCCAGGGACATCCAGATTAGCTACACTTATTTATTCTGTTAGGTTTGCAAAGACAATAGAAGAAATTGGACGTCAGAACTGAGGCCAAATGTTGACCACCCAATGAGATAGAGCAAAGGCTTATCCCCTGACTCATCCCACTGGGGAAAGAGGCTGCCCTAATGAAGTGCACTGAGCAGGGCTGTCCCCACAGGAAGGAGGCAGAGCCACCATGACAAGACAGAGAGATCCGATTTTGCACATGGGCCTTTGGAAAATCAGTTGAGTGCTCCCTCATGACAAAGGAAAAAATAGAGAGTAGAGAATGCTTTACTCTTGGCCAAACCCAATCCCTTTCTGGCATGTTCACCCTGGTGGAGCAAGGGAGAGGTTAGCCAAGGTATCTGCACAGGTCTGTATTGGATAATAAAACAGATGTGAAGGGTAAATGTTCTCCAGTGTAATCCACTTGAACATGCAAACGCCTGTAAGTACACAAAGAGAATTGTAGTGTTTTTTCCTCCCCTGGTCCCAAAGTGTCATTATTTGCCTTAAATTAATTACTGTTCACAGCAGGTTCAGCAGCAATTTTTTTCTTGTTGGCAGACACACCACTGAATTTTATTGCTAGCCTTGTGTGTTTGTTAATCAACCACCTTGGGGGAAATAGCAACATTGGACTAAATCTTAGAGGTGTTTTCTTCCAGATTTTATTACTTGCAGACACAAAGGAGATTGGGAGTAATGTTTCTCCATGTTATTAAACTTGGGACTCCTTCAAGAAAATGTCACTGAACAGAACAAAATCCATTGTTGGCACCAGTGCTTCTGTTATTGTATGGAAAAAGATTAAAATTGCAATGTCAGCTATTAAAAAGGGCAAAACCCACTCCACTTACTTTTCTATTGTTTGCTAAGTGAATTCAGTTGAAAGCCGGAAAGATGATGGAAGAACAGTGCATTTCCTTCTTTTTGGCAATGCTTGGCACGGGGGCTTGCCAGGGCTTGAAACAGACCTTGAGGAAGGTGTTCCAGTGACTGGTCTGCGGCTCAGTTCCGTTCATGCTGTGCCTGCACACTCTATGTCTTGCTGTGCTGTGCTTGGCAGTAGACCTAACCTAGCACCTTATAAAACACACGTCTCTCTGGAACACATGTTTCTTCTTTACATTAACTGAATGAGAAGGAGATGCAATTAAGGGGAGACATTCTACCCAAACTCAAGGTCTTTGAAGATGCTACATTTCAGAGGGGTTGTATTCACCCATTAAATCAAATAAGGCCATTGGCTTTGGTAGCTTCCCTGGGTTTCTGCAGACACCATGAAGAGTCATGCTTTTGATAGATGAAATATTTAATGCGTGTGGATCTCATTTCACAAACTTCAGCTTAAAAGAAATATAACTGAGTACGTTTTCCGTAACTCAACCTCCTATGCTGACTCTGAGCCCTCGTCCTGCTGGACCTGGGAGGGTCCTCAGGAGAGCCAAGATGCGTATTCCTGGAATCCAGTTACTGAAATTGTCATTCTCCCCAGCTTTATGGAGGCATACTTGACCAATAGATATATTTATTTAATCAGTTCAATGTGATGTTTTGATATGTATTGTGTAGCAGTTACTACAAGTGAGCTAATTAGTGTCTCTCATAGTTGTATTTGCTGTGTGTGGTCAGAACATTTGAGACCACCTCTTTCAGTAAAGGTTGAGTGCTCAATACAGGATTATTAACCGTAGTCACCATGCCTTTAGATCTCCAGAACTCACTCATTCCACGACTGGGGGGTGCAAGTGGCTTCATTCACAGTCACTTACTCTCAGAGAAAATGCTTTGACGTCTATGAAAACATCACTGCACACGAATGCCTGTGTGCCACGTGGTCTCAAGTGCACACCATTGGCATTTTGGGTCAGGTGATTCTTTGTTTGAGTGACTGTTGTTTGCCTTGCTGCATAGTCAGTAGTACCTGGCCGCTGCACACCAGCTCCACCAAAATGTCTCCATTGTCCAATGTCCCCACGGGGATGCCCCCCCCCCACTGAGAACCTCTGGTGGCACTGGCACCTGGGCAGCTGTGCACCTGCAAGCATGGGTGTGACCCCCCTCAATGTTTACAACAACATCCTTTCATGCTGCACTTTATAGGTAATTTCAGAATTTGGCTTTATGTGATTTCCTTTACCTACTGATTTGAAAACCTAATTCAACATAAGCTAGCCCATTGTATGCCATCTTTAATACAGTCTTTAAACAGCTACATGCTAAAATCTATATAGCTAATTAATGTGTATAATGTTAATATAATATTAAGTCATTAGTCTGGATGATAAGAAAAAAGTTGACACAAAAAAGTGACCAGTTCATATCTAATTGGCTGGTGAAGTGAGTTGACATGCTTCCAGCTAGGACTAGAACACTGGCCCAATTGAGGCAGGCTAGAACTTTCCCACAGGTTCCTGTGGACCTACGAAGGTAATGGACGTACCCTATTATTGAAGGATGGCTTGGTTATAAAGAAAAAGTTGCCCTAAGAAATGTGACTCAAACCTATGTGGCAAGAAAAAGAATTATAGCTTGGATATTGTGTTTGATTGTTTCTTGGGACTCAGATTCCACAACTGCCATTTTGTGAGTCACAGCAGTGGTAGTGTTATAGAGGCTGCAAATGGCTCCATGGTGACCTCATGGGAACAGGTTTGAATGGGCTTTTGTATAAAATGACCCTTGTGGTCAACAACAGGCTTTGCAAAACTACCTTGATGGACAGAATCACTTCATTCAACCTGACGTTTTCAAGGCACCACCACACAAACATCACACACACACTCACACACACACACTCACACACTCATACACACATACTCACACTCATACACACACATACACACACTCACACACTCACACATACACACACTCACACATACACACTGACACACATACTCACACACACTCACACATGCACACTCACACACACACACTCACACATACACACTGACACACACACACTCACACATACACACTCACACATGCACACTCACACACACATACACACTCACACATGCACACTCACACACACATACACACTCACACACACACACACACTCACACATACACACACTCACACATACACACTGACACACATACTCACACACACTCACACATACACACTCACACATGCACACTCACACACACACTCACACATACACACTGACACACACACACTCACACATACACACTCACACATGCACACTCACACACACATACACACTCACACACGCACACTCACACAACATACACACTCACACACACACTCACACACATACACACTCACACACACACACATACACACTCACACACACACACACACTCACACACACATACACACTTAGGGACGGGAGCCATGCTACTCTCCTCCCTGGAAGAGCTCAGCCTCCGTTGCTCACTGCTCTGCACAATCACACTGCTGTGTAAAGACACACAGGGGAAAATGGCCACTGAGAAAAAACTGAGAAATTAAGCAGACAGGCCAGGGAATGTCACAATTACCCGGCTGGCGTTTATGTAATCTTTAAATACATACAAGGTAAACTCCGTATTGTTAGTGGATGCAATACATTATACAAAATTATGAAAAACAGCTGAAAGAATATAAACAAATTCAAGATAATTATTATCTCTGGGGCAGTGGGCACGGAAATAGTGTTCAGTAAATTTGACAAAGGAGACTGCACTATCATATTTTTTTTATTAAAGAACAAAAATCAATCGATAAAAATATTAAGGTCTTAATCTGAGTGATAGGAGAAAAGTCGATATTATATTTTTCTTAGAAACATGCTTATGAATTAGAGATCCAGGTTTTAGTCTTTGCTACTCATTAGGGGACCTCAACACATTCATGGAAAATGGAATTACAAGATGGCATTGTGATCTCTCAGGGTCTCATCTTCAGCAAGTGAGGAGTTAACTCGGGAATTGGATGGTCTGGGCTCCCTTTCATGAGGCAGGTGTAGGCTGGGACTAAATCGCTTTTCTGGCTTTCTGTTTCACAAATCCAAAATGGGATTGTTGGAGAAAATACTTTCTGGCACATTAAGATGGAAGTAAACTTTGTGGAAGATTAATATAATGACAGCATGAAAAACGGTTTGGGAAAGGGAAAAACCTGCAGGGATACAAAACCTTTCTGTCTACACGATTCATGCCAAGTACAACATCCAAGAGCAGCACAGCCAGAACCCCAACACCTTTCTCATCATTCTGACCG